ATCTGCTCAACAAGCTCAAAGCAATGGGATTATCGCCGAAACTTTGCACTTGGTTTGAAAGTTACCTAAAGGACAGATCCATTTATGTTGCACTGGATGGGCAGAACTCCAACTCTCACCAAATAAATGCTGGTGTGCCACAGGGAGCAATCCTTCCGCCAACTCTTTTTCTGATTTACATAAATGACCTCATAGATAAAACAGTAAATCCACTTTATCGCTTTGCAGACGATGGCAATGTAGTCTCCTCACTCATACCACCCACAGGTCTTTCCGCACGTGAATTCCATCATCTTAGACTAACTCAAATATCGCAGATAAATAACGACCTGGAGATAATAGAGGACTGGGGTAACAAAAACCTTGTACAGTTCAACGCGCAGAAAACCCAAGCATCTCTGTTTTCAAAAAAGACCAGCACCGGTGAGCCAAACATCATGCTATCTGGAAGTGCTGTCACATTACAGAGTCAGTTGAACATCTTGGGGATTACTGCAGAGACCAACATGTCTTGGCACAGTCACGTGGCAGATATTGCTAAAAGGGCGTCCCAAAAGCTCGGGGTGCTATTTCGTACAAGACATCTGTACACACCAAGCCAATTGCTGACACTCTACAAAGCCCAGATTCGACCAACTATGGAGTACTGCTCACATATATGGAGTGCAGCACCCAAACATACCTTAATGCTTTTGAACACCGTGCAAAAACGAGCTATCAAGCTAATCAATGACCCCGCACTTACTCGTAACTTGGATGGTCTCGAACATCGCAGATCTGTGGGCGATTTATCTCTCTTCTACAGGTACTATCACGGAAAATGCTCTGAAGAGTTGACACGTATAATTCCACCGAGAGTAGCGCCTACCAGGCTGTTTGACGTGTTTGACATGAATTTACTGTCAAACTAGAGAACCTCATTATATCAGAATTCATATCTCTGGAGAACAGCATCGCTGTGGAATAAACTCCCTGCGACGGTTTTCCCTGCAGGTTACAACCTGAACCGTTTCAAGACCAACATACACCGACATTTCCGCGCACTTGTCGCTTCTCGAGCGTGATAGGACATTTCCTTGCGAGTGCGCATATCCGTAAAAAAAAAAAAATATTTTGCAGCTGCTCACTATTTTATGAGGCTGCCTGTGTATATGTGTCACAAAGTATGTCATTTGTAGTTTTCCTGGATTCTAAAAAAAAACAACTTGGTAAGAATATAAAAAAAATAGGTATGCAAAAGTACAGCAAGTTTTCAGTTCAAAGTTTCAGTTGAAATAATTTGTCGCTCAATGTGTACCAGATTTTCTTTTACTTACTTTTTTTCTCTTGATTTTTTTTTGGAATATTTGGGGCTCGATTTGGGGTAACCTCTTGAGGTTTATCATCATCATCGACAACTTCAAGAACTACCACCTCTTCGTCTAAATCAAAATCCATTTTCTGGACCTAAAAATTGAAATTAGTCAAGTCTGATACTGATACTTTCTTCAAATCTGAAAATCCAGAATAAACTAAGAGTTCTTTTAATTTTATATGTTTTTTTTTAAGTTTTGTTAATACCTCATCAACTAAATTCTGGCCTAAACTCAGATTTTCTTCCTGATATTGATGTTCTTCATCTTCCTTCGGTTCATTTTGAACCTGCAGCCCTAGTTCCGGCACAGTTATGCCTTTTACAGCAACAGCCCCAGTGATATTTATTATGGCATTTTCTAAATCGGTCAGAGGTTTATTTTCTCTGGCCTTTCTTCTAGCATTGGATTTCCATTCAGTGAATGCCTACAAAAGGATTTTTATATCTTGAATCTAATATTTCTGATGGTTAAACCAAATGTCTTCACAGCTAGCTTTTTTGGCTGGCTACAAAAACTATTCGAAAGTAATCTTGGTCAAAATGAAATGGAACTTACTTTTTTCCATGATGCTGTATCCCTCATAGGTCCATCCCCGCATGAATTTAATGTTGTAGTGAGTTTTTCCCAAGCCTAAATTATTATATCTTCTGGGTTTGTGGTGCTGGGATTCAATTTTCCTGTAAGTAGGACGGGATTTTCTCTCAAAAAAGAAAGATAAATTTTGAACTGTGTCTTTGTAGTACGTTTTTTTTTCCATTTTTTTTTCCATTGCACACTTGCTACTTGCAGAATAATATAAAAAAATAAAAACACCCAGGACAAAACGAAAATAAACAACAAACCAAAACCGGCAAACCTAAACAAAATGCCAAGATCAAGATTTAGGTTAGAATCCGTTGAAGAAATAGTTTTGACACGACGAATTTTAAAAATCACTAGATATTCGCAACGTTGTCAGATTTTTTGCTTTCAAAATTTAATAGACTATCAATATTGAATTCCCAGGTAGCAAGGTAACATCCTGAATATGAAAAAAAAATCAACATTGAAATATTTCAATATACAAAATTGAAAATCATGAATAAGGCTGATTCACTGGTCAACTTAGGTAAAATCGAAACATCAGATCCTGACTCGATTAAAAATGAAATACCTAGTGTTGGGATCCTTAATTACTAACCAATGTTGGCTGTTGGAGACTGGTTTTCCTGGATCTGACCCATTCTGCAAAGTGGTTTGCATGTTCTGGCACGCTCTTTAAAATGTAGCTGGTACCAACATACGACGCCATCTTCCTATTGCTATTCTCGTGGAGCCTCTCGAGTACGATAGGGTGTAGGGTCTCGAGTACGGTAGGGTGATGGTACTCGAGTACGGTAAGGTGATGGTTCTCGATGACAACGCTGGAGTTTCAGTTCCTGGACTTCCTTGTGAAGCTTCTGAATGCGTGGGCTCGTTGCATTGAGCTGCAAAACTGCGAGGTGGTTCAATTTCAGCTACCTTATAAGCCATTTTTGCCAAATTGTCAATAGTGTCCCGGCTGGTTGCATATGTGTGCAGGCAGGTGTTGCAGCCACGAGGTTTTTAGCAATTGATTCGAAACAGAGGTGACTCCTAAGCGGGACATTTCATTCAGCAGTTGTGATGGCTTCTTGTCACCTAAGCTCAAGTCGGATAAGAGAGTTTTGAGCTTTTTATCCTCGGACTCTGAGTAGATAGAAATTAGTTTGTCTTTGAAAGCGTCGTACTTGTTGGTTGGAGGTGGCTTTAAAAGTAGGTCGGATATTTGATTCAAAATACTGGTGTCAACCACACTTATCACATGGTTGAATCACGGTCCCCATCTGACTGAGGCTTATCTGTAGAAATGCTTTACGAATATCTGGGGTAACTCCAATTTTTCCAATTCGAAATCTTAATAGAATTCCAGGTATGAGTTCAATTAAATTTATGTCTTTTTCCAAACATTGTTTAAGTGACGGCTGATTTTGGTGTTTTGGGGACGCATCAAAAACTGGGCAAAATGTTGTTGTTTTACTTTCTTTTTTGACAATAAGTCGATGCGGTAAGTAAAATGAATGCCTAATTTCTGTTGTTTTCATTGGTATTAATTTCTTCAATAATATCTTCGTCCATCCAATCTTGGAAAACATGGTCATAATCTTTGTTATAATGACCATCATTTTTTACTTTTTTACCCTGTTTTTTCAATCGTTTCTTGGGTAATTCGAAATTATTTACTAACGGATGGTGCCCATATCAAACCAAAGAGGACAAACTTCGTATCTATAAAATTTTCCATTATTGTGTGTTCCTGTTCTTGTTTTGTTTTCGCTATTGCTGGATCAGTTATTCCTTAACCCTTTCAGTACGGCTTACCGATATATCTGCCACATACAAATTTGGCACACAGACGGCTGTCCGATATATGTGACATCGAGTTATTCATGCTCCATGGACTAATGTCATATATTTCAGACAAATTTGAAAAATCAATTAGCCGTGCAGACGACTGACCGAATAATCAGCCACACATATCCATGCCACGCCATGAACGACCAAAATATACGACAGTCGTCGGGGTGGCAAGTTCAGTGAGTACCCTACGTGACTAACGGCTAGTATCATTCAAAATGTCGAGAGAGAAGCAGCCAGGACCTTCAAAAAGCGGGTTAGAGTGCAAAGTTATTAGGATAATAGTTATAGCGGATTGGAACAACGTGAGGTACTCCATATTAATGCATTTCTCAAAAATAATGCAGGCAGATATATATGACACCCGTCCATCCGGCATGCAAAAAACTGCCGTCCTCAAGCCAAAACAAATGAAAATACTGCCGTCCTGAAAGGGTTAAACATCTAACTCCCATAAATTAGATATTAAATCACTTTGACAAAACATTGAAGTTACAAGATACGAGGCAGAACTGGGAGGATTCATAGAAACTTTTCCTATCGAGGACCATCCGAGTTTTGTTTCCATTGCAGTCAAACCACATTTTAATTGAATCATTTTTCCAGTGTATGAAGATCCGTCAAAATTAATTTCTATAAGGATTTCACTAGGAGCTTCATTGTCTTCAGATAGATGTATGTGTATTCTTCAAGCTCAGTGATCCATGGTCTAGGTGAGATTGAAATTATGGGGCTGCAAATAACTTGTCGGTCTAAGAGATCCATTTTGCTCTCATAATTTGGATTTGGATTTCTCATTACCACTTCATATAGTTGATGTTTTACAGTTTGTGTTTGGAAAAACATTTTATGGTTTCAAATTTTCCATTCTATCGTAAAAATTTTAAATTTTTGGAGCTTCAAAATTTTCTTTTCTACTTCAAAGTATAAATGAGAAACCTAACCAGTCCTCTATATATATAGAGGTGGGCAAAAGACTGATATTTCTTTTTTATTTTTCCTCATAGCATTTTCTTTCCTTCTTTTTTAGGTTTTTGGTTGGTAGTGAGTGTTTCATTATTTATTGTCGATTTCCTGCGAACAAGACAAGGCCAAATTTTAAAGCAAATAGGCATTAAAAACATAATCGCCTATTGTTCAGAATTATTGCAATAATGAAAAAAAAATATATATATAATATATTAATTTAAAATTAATGCAAAGCGACCTGTCGACGCTTTACAGTTGAACTAAACAGAATGTTTCTCAAACTTGGTTTACTCGTTTTTTTGTCAATATGTGTATATATGAGCGAAGGGTTTACGGAAACAGGTAAAAATTTATTTATTTCTATTCATTTAAAACTTATTAGTTTTTGATTATCCAAGCGAACATTTTAAATTCCGGTTTGGTAAAGTTACCTATTAAAATCGTTTTAGATTGCAATGAAAATCATGAACGGGTATCCTGCAAATATAAATTGAATGTGTACACATGGAACAACGAAATAAAACATTGCGTAAGGGTTTCATATGGAGGTTGCAACCGTACTTCGAACAACTTTGCATTCAGGCCTGACTGTGACAGGATCGCCAGACCTATTTGTACTAAGGATTATGCCAATGCTATCAATGCATTTTCTAAAGAAGGTACTAGAATATTGGTCCTAATACGTTTTGTATCCCATATAGTGCTTATAATTCACAAAACATCCAATTTCAGAGTTCAATAAAATAAAAAAATATTGGTTACTTACAATAGACCTATCTATTTTACCAGACAAAGAGGTAATAATACGAAAACTTCATTAAATAAAAAAAGACACAGAACGTTCATTGCGCAAGACGAGGCAAAATGTACCAAATTATGTTAGACTTACGTATAGAAATCCGTCCTTCTTATTTGCACGGGATAAAAAGGTAAGAAGAAAAACCGCGTGTTGTGCAACGTATTTGTCAATGAAAATGTCAAACAACTTTTGAATGACATTTGCCAAGTTGAATATCAACTTTAGATTTATTCTTGTCAGACCACGTGCAATGAACAAGGACAAAGAGATGTCCAGCGTGCAAAACGATCACCTCACACCTGTATTGGCTACCCAATAAAAAGAAATTGCCTCGTGTTGCGCGCGCATAACAGGTAAAAATAGATAGGTCTATTCCTACAACCATAAGAAATAGATTGTGTTTGTTTCAGCTTGCAACCACGAGGTCCATCTTGGCGACCCATACGAAATACCAAAATGCCCAGGATATAGATATGCAGTTTGGACATGGAGCAGCAAAGAGCAAGCTTGTAGAGAAGCTTATTATTGGGGTTGTAATGGTTCTGCAAACAGGTTTATCAGTCGCGAAGACTGTGACAGAATTGCAAGACCCATTTGTACATGAAGACTTTTGAGCCCAAATATACTTAACTGTCAGTTAATTAAATGAAATGCAAATCAACGCAAACCAAACAAATATCTTTTTTTTTTTTTTTTGACGGCCTATTTCCGCCAGGGAATTTGTCACATCTTAGAATTTCACCGAACCCATCTTTGTCGATGATAAGGATCTTTTCCGTGCATAACATCACTGATACACAGGACCAACAGTTTCTCATTGATTTCCGAAAGATGGCGTTTTTTTTAGACTTTTGTGTTAGATACGCCCCTACGTGATAAGAGGGACGATATAATAGTATATGAACTTTATTTACACAGTCGTCAAAATTAATCAACTTTTATACTACAAACCCTCCCTGACAAATTTAAAGATGTTTTTCTAGTCGTTTTCTTATCCTGGTAGGTACTTCTTCGCAATGACTCAGCATTTTCTTGAATCAAAATCTTTGTATGGTTTTGGTTTTTGATTAAAAAAAGGTTGGCTTTGGTTGGTTCTCTCCATGCTTGCTCCACTCAAGTTTATTACAATATTTTTACAAATTTTATGCATAATGTTTATGACAATCATATACTTAAAGATAAACTTAAGAGCTAAACTAACATGGTGTGCACCTTAAGATATTTTAACTAAAAATAAGTAAAATAAAACGGACAAGTTGTCTTGAAGAGACTTCCTAAACCTATACTTAAAATTAAATGATCGTGGTCCTGGTCCTCGTCGGGGGCTCCTGGTCCTGGATTGCTTCTGCTTCGACAGAGTTAGGTGAGGGCTTCCTGCGTCGGACTACCTCCCCAGGTGGGGGAAGCTGTCTCCAGCATTTAGCGTCCTGTGTCTGACTAGCTTCCTGCTGCGTGCTTCCCTCAGTCGGAGGGGCACGCTGCAGTAGGCTTGAAAAGCTGGCTTCCTGCGTCGGACTACCTCCCCAGGCGGGGGAAGCTGTCTCCGGCATTCAGCGTCCTATGTTTGGCTAGCTTCCTGCTGCGTGCGTCCCTCCTGAGAGAGACATGCTGCAAAATGCTTGTAAGGCTGGCTTCCTGCCTCCGATAGGTTTCCCAGGCTGGAAGGCTGTCTCTTTGGCAGTAGGCGTCCTGTTTGACTTCTCAGGCTTGAGAAGTGGGCGGCTTTCCGCTGCGTATAATCCTCAACCCCTGCTCAGTCCAGGGCTGATGATGCACGTAGCAGTAGGCCTGTTATGGTGGGTAGTCATCATTCGGAACTCTGTAGTGGCCTCTCTCGTGTTGAGGGGGCTTGGTGGGAGTCCCGGATGGTCTGGCTGGTGTGAGCTCTGGCAATCAAGAAGTAGTTGGTGTTCAGCTTTTGGATGTGTTCAGGTAGCGTCTCTTGTTCATAGTCTCGATGAAGCGTCGTGTTTCTCATGTACCATGGGGCGTCCACGATGATACGGAGAGTCTTGTTCTGGCAGGCAGTCAGTCTTTTCAGGTGAGTGGGTGCCGTGGTTGACCATGTCAGGGATCCATAGGTGAGGATGGGCATGGATTTGTACGTCAGGAGTTTTCTTTGGATGGATAGCTTGCTCCTCCTCCCGGATATGAGAGGGAAGAGCTTTCGTAGTGTTGCATCTGTCTTGGCTCTGGTGATCATGATGTGTTGTCTCCAGGTGAGGCTCTGGTCGAAGTGAAGGCCAAGGTATTTGGCGTTACTTTTCCAGGGGATGTCGTGTCCTGATAGTCTCACGTGTCCGTGAGGTCTGGCACGTGTACGTCTGAACAGAACAGCCTGAGTCTTGTTCGGGTTCAGCTTCATTTTCCACTTCTGCATCCAGGTTTCCAGAGTATTGGTGTATCTCTGGAGTTTGAGGTTGATCAGTCTGGATTGTTTGCTCTTGGCGACGATGGCGGTGTCGTCGGCAAATTGGGCTAGCTGGATTTCTGGTCCAGCCGGGAGTGGAATGTTGTGGGTGTATATGGTGATGAACGAGTGGATGATGCGGGTAAGGTAGTCTGGCGTTTGAATCTGTAGCAGCTTGTGTATGAGTCCAAGGTGCCACTACACCTTGTCGAAGGCTTTAGATATGTCGAAGAAGAGTGCTCCTGCTGCCTTCCTCTTGTTGAACCCGTCTCTAATGAACCTGGCTAGGCGGCTTGTTTGATGTATTGCTGATCGGCTGGCTCTGAAACCGTACTGTTGTTCAGGAAGTACGTTTCTGTCCTCGAGATGGTTGTTGAGCCTTCTGAGGACTATGCGCTCTGCTAGCTAGTCTGATTGGCCTGTAGTTGCTTGGTTGGTCCAAGGCTGTATTGGCTTTGTGGATCAGTATGACATCAGCGTTCTTCCAGGATGTGGGGAAGTGCTGCGTACTTAAGATGCCATTCACGATGTTTGTGAGCTGCAAGATTTGCGTATATCGGGGAGACTTCGCAGGATTATGTTGTTGATCCTGTCCGGTCCTGGAGCTTTTCTTGAATTGACTCTGGATGTCAGGTCTCTGATCTCCGCACTGGTGACGAGTGGTATGTCAGCGTTTGGAAGAGGATGTGTTTGCAGGAAGCGTGTGGCGGTCCTGCTGATATGGTTGAGTTCATTGTGGTTTCGAACTGGCAGGTCTCTGTGTGTCGAGAATTGTTCTTGGAAGGCGTCGGCAAAGGCGTCGAGTTTTGCCGAGGGATCCGTTATTGTCACGTTGTTGTAAACAATGGGCGGGAGAGGCTTCCTTGGGCCCTTGGTTAAGGAGCTGGCGAACTTCCAGATGGATCCATCTTCTATGGGTAATTGTTCGAGCTTGTTCTGCCAGTTCTCATTGTAGATGTCGTGAAGGGCTTGTCGGATTTCCAATGTCAATCGACTCGCTTCTCTCTTCATGACTGACAAGTTGTCGTGTACCTGCGAAGGATGCGGTTTTTTACGCGGTTCCTTTCGCGGAGTTCCCTGGGGATGCTGAGGTCTCTGTCTGCTGGGTAGCTTTTAGCAATTGACGCTTCATCGAGCGCTACCTGAATGTTATTTGTGAGCTTCAAAGCCGCTTGGTCGAGAGAAGCGGGATTGTCGATGGGGGCCTGTGGTTCTGACGCAACCAACTTCTGTGTGAAGGCGTTCCAGTTAGTGATGGTTTTGTCCCTGAATTTGGTGTGTTTCAAGGCTGGATTTCCAACTTCCAGGATGATTGGCAAGTGGTCTGATGTGGACAGGTCGTGGTTCACAGTCAGTGTTTGTTGTCGATGGACTGCTCTGGTCAGGAAGATGTCCAGGAAGTCAGGCTGGATTACACGGTCCCCTATGAAGGTAGGGCCGTCTGGCGGTAAGATATTGTACAGGTATCTTACTGCGGCGGATTGCGGTCGACTCAATTTTGACGGATTGAGCCGACTGGATCTGATTATGTTGGATGTTTCTCTTCACTAGAATGGCTGTGCCTCCACCTGGCGCATCTGTGCGGTCCGTTCTGTAAGTGAAGTAGTTAGGGACATTGAACGTGTGACGGTGCTTCAGGAAGGTTTCCTGAAGCAGTACAATGTCAATGTCGTGATCCTCTAGGAAGTGTAGGAGTTCTGGCTTCTTGTTTTGAGCGCAGTTGCCGTTCCAAGACACGATGCGCAGGAATTGCGGGATCGTTTCAACAATCATTGCGGGCTGCTTTGTTTGTTGGTCCTGGCAGCAGCTGTTTGACGAGGGGCGCCAGCGCGCTCGTCAACTGCGTAAGTTTCTCTCCATGGGAATGGCTATTGTATTTTCAGTTGAAGTAGAAATTTCTGGTATCGAATCGTTAAAAATTATTGATGAGCTTGTCCTTTCCTCAGGATCAATACAAGAAAAATGTTTGTAACCCAACATTTTTCTATGGTTGTTAGACGTGGTTATAGATAACAATGTCGATGACAAAATATCTTGGTTCAAGAAGCGCCACGGAGCGGATTAGGCTGAAAATGAGACTATCCGAAAAAAAGAAAAACACGCAGCAAACACTCGAAACATCGAAAGGAGCCGCAAAATATCAAATGTGTCTCCCACCCAAATCTTTGAACTCTGAATTAGAGGCAACAATTTTTTGATGCCTATGTGTATTTTATATAAGATTGCTAATAATTCTATCAATTCTTCTGACTCACTTGCTACAGTAAACCGTTGATTAGTAAACTTACATGTACCTATCCTCTAGCAATTTAAGAGGAAACACAATGTTTCATCTTGATCTCACTCACAACTTTTATGAAGATGAAACTGTTAGATTTACAATCAAATAGCCATAGTATATAGGTAGGTATAGTTGATTAATAAGGTGTGACAATATGTCAATGTGTGATGTCAATTTATGTAAGTTTCACGAGATGAATTAAAACGGTGTTCAATCGTAATCAAGTGTAATCGTGTTTTTCTATTACATTCACAAACTTATATTTGGTGCTTCAAAGATTCCATGCATCAGGTTATGGGCCCAGAAACCAAATTCTGATAAGTTTGGGAATACGCAGTTAAAATTGTGTGTTTGTTGAAGATGGCCTCGAACTCAGGAATTAATTTCGCCGTGGAAAAGTTTGGAATATTTTTTTGATGGTAATGACCATCGGAAATTTCGAGTTGAGACGGTGCTTGATCACAATGGAGTTAAAACTTGTGTGGAACGGGCCATAAATGAAAGAGCTAATACAGTGGAAACCATATAGCGGAGGTTAGGGCAAAGTGGCCACCTTAACTTACAAATTACAGAAATATGCTTAGATGAATTAGAATCAACAAGATAAACATAAATTTTGCTTATTTATGAAATGGCTTTATTCCTTAACATATTATCTATTCACAATCCGATGTACAAAGAACAATGGTAAAGGTAAACTGTATCACCTTTCAGTGCTACTTGATAGGGAAAGGTGATAAATTTACCTTTACCTTTGGACTACGGATTGTGAATAGGATATATTTATTGTTTCTAAATAAAGTGTCACAAAAAAAAAATTGATTCATGCAAATTAGCCGCTTTGCCCCATTATGGGATAAAATGAATACCTATGAAGGGGCACAGTGAACAACATTTAAAAATAAATAAAACTTTTATTTTAAACAGTCAATTCCCTTGCCAAGGCCAAAAAGCCTTCTTTGCATCTCTAAGATGAAGACTAGTTACTTGTATATCCAGAGAAAAATCACTAGGTCTAGAACCGCGCATATAATGTCATCAGTAAGGACTTTTTGGGTAATCCACTCTGCCTCCAGGTGCCACTTTGCCCCAAACTTCCCTACTGGGCGCAGATCAAGAGGCAAACCCCAGATGAGATGGATCAACGACCTCAAATTGAGCGCAGTATTACACTGGAGAACCAGGTGACTCAAAATAGTCAAAATATAGTTCGCT